TATATAAAAAAAATTAATATATATATATTAAAATGGGTGCAGCTTAGAATATGGAGAAGGCTAAAGATATCTTGGAAGACTTGGTAGGAGAGATTGTGAAACACATTTGCATGGTTGTCCAAAAAAGGTGATTTGTTCTGGATAGGATCACCTGAAGCTGATCTAGAGTAGTAACTGAGTCATGCCATAAATACATACAAGTAATTTTTCTTCTTAGAGTCAAGTCTTCCTTGATGTTCTGAAAGAGTTGGGGTTTTTTTAGAATGCTTAAGCCCGTTAGAGTGGAATATTTTTTATTCATCCACTTTGCTTCTGGGTGGAACGTTTAGATCTTTCTGTATATACTAGTAAAAAAAATAATTAGAAGACAGATTGTATTCCTTTAAAAATAGTCCCATAGAACTGGTTGTATTATGTTTCTGTATTATACAGGTCACCAGAAAGACCCACTGGAGATCTTCGGGAAAGAATGAAGAACAAACGTCAAGATGTTGAGGCAGAGCCACAGAAACGAAGTACAGAGGAATCGTCCTCTCCTGTTAGGGTAAGAATGGAGTTTGCAGAACTCCAGAATCCCTCATAGCAGTTGGGCAGTATGTCCTAGAAACCTGATCGTGGTGACTTGTAATATTTAAAATGTTTTAATGAACTGATCATTTTGTATGTAGCATGTGGCATATTTTATTATGAAGTGTCTTAACAATTGTATTATTTTGCAATTTTATAGCACTTTCTGGTCTTTTGGTTCCCAAAGATTTTACAAATCCCACAGACTAAAATATGTTATAAATATTGATAAACAGATATTTAATAACAGTGCAGACTCTTTGATTATTACCAAGAAAGTGTATTAACTGTTGTTTCAATCATCCACTATTTTTCCCCCAACACTTATTCATATCCATTGTTTACATGCATCCTGACTCCAGTTGTTCATCCCAAATTTGCTTTCGATGAGACCATGCAGTTACTGTTGTGCTGGTTCATTTACCTTCCTCCTCACATACTCATCAGCCATCCCAACTGCTCACTTTTGGATTTTGAAAAAAATTCATTCATTTTCGTTCCCATTTTCTAATCATCTTTCTGCAACCGTATATCCCTCAAATATCAGAAGTTACTTATTTTTAAATTGTGTTATCTGTTCCTGATGTTACAAAGAAATAAGGGCAGAGTTGGTAGCGTGACCCTGCACCTGTGTAACAATAGCACCAGTGTATTCCTGCGTCATGTTTTTTAAGATCATCTTCATATGAATAACGATTAAAAGTTCTTATTTGTGAAAAATTAGTTTTGCTTCTGCAGGTATTAACAGCATTCTTTTTTTTTCCTCTCGGTCTGTTCCTACTTGCTGTGTAAAATGAATTTTTATGTCAGGTGTAAAGAAATCAACAGCAGCTGCTATCATTAAATTAACAGAATGGCTTACCTTCCAATCATGTTTTCAGTTGCTGTTAATTTGTGTAAACTTTCAATCTTTTTACTCTTTTACTTAAATGTGTTTCTTTTATTTTCTAATAGTTTCAATAAACTGTTCAGTTATTGAGTACATGGTTGGTGGGAAAAGTGTTTTTTCCAACCGTTATTAAAAATTTACTGTAACTTCTCTGCTGGTACAAGTCTAATTTTGATGTAATTCTTACTTTTGCTTAGTTAACCCTGCTTTTCATAGTGTTCTATTAATGTAATAATAAAATACTCTTAAAGAACTAAACCCCAAGTAAAGGTGAACTGGAAGCAGGAATCAAAAGGAATTAGTGGGTCTGTTAAAGTACCAAAGAATTATTTACAGGATAAGCACACTGCAGAGAAAAAAATACTCTGCTTCAGTCTCATAAAACAGAAGGCTGAGGAAACTACTGAGCTTTTGTATTAGTTGTGTGGAGGCAACTCTCAAAATATGGGATATCCAAAGAAAATATTCTGCAACAAATAGATGAAGAGGGACAGGTGTCAAGAGTTGTGTTGCAAAGAACCAGGATATCTAAAAGAACAGAAGACTGAAGTGACTGAACTGCTAACAAAAATCTTGCTCCATCGTTAGAGCTACTGTTATGGTGGAGATCTAATATCTGACGTTTCCATCTCTTATTAAAGCTTTTGGGATAACAGAGGAGCTGGATAAGAAATCTTAACTTTGTTTTGAAATAATGGAAAGTAGCTTGTTCCATAAAAAGTTTCATAATTGTGTTTTTTTAAAAAAAAAAAAAAGGAAGAGCAGCAGTGTTCCTGCAGACAAAATTTGTGCTTCACCAGTCTACTAGCCTGAAACTTTAATGGAGAGTAGTGGCTAAGAGAGAACTGTCTGATACAGGTGAAACCTTAAATAGCTTCTTTTGAAACAAGGCTTTTGAGGCATATAGATAGTCAAAGAATAGCAAGTATAATATTGGCAGGTTTAGAAGCCAGCTAAGGGGAAAATTTTACATTAATTTCAAATTATGAAGTTACAGAGGATGCTATGGTGCTTCATCTAAAGAGCTATAACTTTTTAAGAATGTGGAAAAAATGTTGGACATCCCAAATGTCAAACTTTGCAGAAGATATGAAAACAGTAGTTGAGATTACTAAAGTCTGAGGAGTGCCATAGGGGTTGGGGAAAGATATTTTTTGGCAGTACAGTGATGAAACTTGGTGTTGGCAAGTGCAAGGTAATGCACAATGAAGAAAGTATTTAAAACAAAAAATCATGAATGAGTATTTTAAAAGTAACTGAAACCATCCAGTAGAAAAAGAAGTTATTGTGGACAGCTCAATGAAACTATCTGTTCAAAGTGCAGTCACAGTTGCAGAAGCAAACACTCAGATATATAAAAATGGAATAGAAAATGATCAATATTATGCTGTAGAAATTCATGGTCCAGTTTTATTTAAACGCTGTTTGGTTGTGATCACCTGTATGCAAGAAAATACAGTCAAAGGTCTTTTTGAAGTGGGCAAGGAGGTGAGAAAGAGACTGGAGAGAAGAAAGGACATGTGGCGAATGCATATAATGTATGGTTGAGAGAATGTAAATTAGATGCGTCATATTTATACTTTATCCCAGTAGAAAGAGTGGCAAATTTGAAAATGACAAGGGGGAATGCTATTTACATTATATATGACAATGCTACCTGATTGCCAGAAGATACAGTCAAAAACCTGAGTAGGTTCCACAAAAAGTTGAGACAGTATGACTAGTATAAAATCTTTTTAGAAGAGATTTCTTGTTCTTTGGAGACATAAGATAACTAGTACGACCTGTATGTATGTAGGAAGAAACTTCCTATATGGACAGCCTAGAGAATATATCTCTTATTATTTCTTCATGTCTTGTACTATTATTTTCAGAGATAATATGCTGCGTTACGTGGACAACTACATTGAACTCAGTTGTTTCTGTGTTTCTCAGATTTGTGTTCGGAATTATTTCAGCACTGTATGTTAGTGTATCAATTATTATACAAATAATTAGATAAGGTTCCTGCTGTTACTATATTTAGTTGGAAATTTTTATGTTGAATTTTTCTCTGTATTACGAGAAGACAGTTACATTGGAGCATATGAAGTATTACCTGAGGTATTACCTGGGAGGTGTGTGTGATTTGGGAGGAACAGCGGGAAGAACTTAATGTACATTTAGGAAAGGTTTTTGTAAGGAATGTGTATCACTTGTTTCATATTTGTGCTTTTTGTTGCTGTGGCTTTTGAATATCTCCACTGGAAATGGAAGTCAGCATTGTCTTCCATCTCTGAAATGGAAACAATACCTGTTCATTTCAGGGAAACTTCAGATTCATTTTCTTGTATGTTTGTGTAGTGTGGTAGTAGTTTACACTATAAATGTATTATACATTGAGCAAAATAGTACTGTGCTTGCCCAAAAGATTCTAGCTGTAATACATGATAGCTTATTCTAAATTTAAAGGCATCCGTGCTTTTGAATTAGTTTATATTGCTGCTGCGTGTACATGTGCTGATAAGGCTGAAACTGAAGTTTCTGCCTTGTAAGAATTGTAGGTTGTAAGAGTCTTGCAAATATCCTCTCCATCGGTGTTGGCAAAATAGTACTCCTTGGCTAGAAGCATGTTGGCAGGCTGGATGAGTCCTTTTGTGCTTGGCCAAACTCTTCTGGCTGTAGTGGGAAATTCATTCAAGTAGACATCAAGTCTTGTGCTGTAGAGTGCTGATCATATCTTACGGGGTGTGGAACTTCAACTTAAGTAGACATTAAATGAAATAAGATCTCACAGAATTTAGCCCTAATGTCTTTTTTTTTTTTTTTTTCTCCTTTCTTAAGTAGCATTTCTCCGGAATGTCAACATTAAACTGTAATCATCTATCCAACACATGTGAATAGTTTAACTGTGAGCACATATCTGAAAACAGCATAGACAAAGTCTACTAAGCTGTGGTTTACTCTTAGGACAATCTACAATTTTTTTTTTTTAGTAAATAATTATATTATTATGAAAGTTTATTGTTTCTCATCTAGTAAATGGCATTTTTTCAGAGTCTGCAGAGAAATAGTTTACAAGTGTGGGTGAAGTGGATACAGCATCTTCAAGTGCAAGTGAAAGACATGCTATTGGCCTTTAGGAGCTTTACTTATTCTTGGCTTATTAAGGGAGAGACAAAAAAAACCTGTGTAAAGTACGAGAAGGTCTATAAGGATATGAAGGAAATATTTATTCCCCATAGTATGAGGGAATTAAATGCTTTGTAAGTGAAACAAGTACAATAAAAGAAATATGTTGAAGACTTTTCAATGAGAAAATTCAAGTATGTGTTCTAAACCATCATAACTTAAATTCTTGATTTGCATGCCCCAGGAAAATAGACTCAATTTCTAAACTGAGTTTTGTTTTTCAAGATGCAGTGTTACCAGAACCTTTTTTCCTGACAACTAAACTGAAGTCGTTTAGTGTATGAACGGGCTCGGATCAAGTTGTCCCGACTTGTAAAATAGCATGCTTGCATAAAAATTGTCTATTCCTTTCCCCTATGTTCAGTAATTCAATAAAATTCTTTTCATAGATGTTTTTGTTCTCAGTTCTTCTGTAAAAGTATGATTGTACCACTACTGAATCTCTCCACTGAAAGGAGAAAATAGAGGCTGTTTCAAGATGCTTGTGTTTGGTTGTAAGTTTGGAGATTTAGGTGAGATACATACAGGTTGTGTAGTATTTTAACATGGGTTATTAAATTGGTCTTGAAGCATTCTGATTTATCTGCATGTTCTCTGCTGACAAGTTATTTGGGGAATTCGCATTGAGAAGTTTTTTTGAAATCAGCATATAGAGGATGTCCTAACATGCGTATTCCAGTTTGCTAGTAACAAATAGTGTTGAACTAATAGAAACTAATATTTTATTTAAGAAGTTACGTTTATTGTTTGTTTATATTGTAGGAATTAGTTGGAGTATGTAGCAGAAGTACACAAGATGCAGCCTTCAAGGAGGGCAGTCTAGAAAAATTAAGATACTCTAAGAAAAAAAAGAATGGTTGCAGGAGAGGCTTGTTGATAAAGTTACAGATTTTTCAGATCTCATCAGAGTCATTTTCTTTTAAAGTAACTTGCTTTGGAGCGTAGTACAATTCTTCCCGTTAGGCTGAAATGCCTTTAGTACATGTTGTAATGATGGCTTAGTTGATATAGACTTGTCTGCAGTTGGTGTCAGCAACCAACACGACTTGATAGGTTAGGATCTTGTGCATCATTTTAAAGATCTGTCATGAAATGGAGAAAAAATAACTTTTTTTTCCTTATTCTACAAGTTGCTTTAAATTAAACATGGCACAGATTAGTTCTTTAATGTGAAGTTCTTTCATGTTATGTAGTGAACGGTCAGTTTTTTCCAAACCTTTTAAGGCTTTGAATATGACATACTGAATGCATCAAGATGAGCAAGGCTTGAAGATAACTGTGCGTTGAAGCATCTGTTCTAGTTCACTAGGTAAAATAAATGCAGTACTTGTTCTGTCATCGTTTACATCATTAAACTGGAGATAAGATTTTAGCATTGTTAGTGAATAAAAAGGAATAGTTGAATTTTACTCACTTGGGAGTGACTATCCACGATGTTATGTTATTTCCTTACTGTGTTTCTAAGGAGATGTTAAGGATTTAAATTAAGTCAAGATCTAAGTCCCAATAAGGAATAGCTAGTGAAATTCTCAGGCATCTCCTTTTCTTGGCACAAAAACAAAGGTTTCTACATATCAACGGTGAAGAATCCCCAAAAGACAAAAGAAGGCACTATGGGAGGTGAGAACAAAAGGGTTATGGGACAGACTTTCATTATTTGCTCTTTCTGGTTTCCTACTTAATAAATTAACCTGAGATACTTCTAAGCTTGAATGTTCTTTTTTTGCAAATAGTGAAAAAACTTTGTCCTGTACTCCACTTGAGCCCAGGTAGATTATTTAGAGAATGTAAATTCAGCAGAGGCAATGATGCAACTATACAACTTTACTACTGGAATTTAGCAGGGGGAGAAGAGCAGCACAGGTTTAGTTGCCTTTTGAAATTATCTTCTTTCCTGTAAGAATAGTCTCTGGCTTCCTTAGGTGTTTACAGGACCATCTGCCACATGCAAAATGGGTGCTACTGCAGTAGTTAGATTTGTCTAATAACTCGGGGCCAGTGAGAGTTCAAATATAAAACTATCAACAAAACTTGATTCCAGTGTGTTGCTTTAGACTTTTTTCGCCTTCCTTCTGCCAGCCAAGGGTCTCTGTTTTTTTTTATTTTATTATCCCCATCCCCCATTCTTTATCCTCTGGAGAGTTAAATGGTTCAGCTTCTGAGGCTCATCTGCCTTGCATATAAATATTCTTATTTACAGCTGAGAACTCTTACTCAAGCTGTTAAAATTATACTCTTTAAACGTTCATCAAACTTCCGGTCTTAAGAACTTGATCTGTTCTTTCAGTTCCTTTATTCTCCGATACGTGCTCGATTCTTGCCTTGCCTTTAAACCTTCTTATTTTATGTATCCTTTCTTCTCTTTTCCCCATCTGCTATTTGCTTACTGATTATATGAAAATGCATTAGAACATGTTGCCTGTGGAGTCTCTGCTTATTTAAGAAGGTATTTGTTCAACAGGCTAAAGGGGAAAATGCTTTTTGTACTATAAAAAAGAAACAGGCAAAATACCATGTAAAATATATCTGCTTCTTCAGGCTTCTTTTAAAATAAAGTTGTTTACTCTAATGCAGCATTTTTCCCTTTATAGAAAGAGTCTTCACGAGGAAGACATAGAGAAAAGGAGGATATCAAAATTACAAAGGAGAGAACACCAGAAAGTGAAGAGGAAAATGGGGATTGGGAAACAAATAGAGAAGGTAAGTATAATTAAACTAATGGTCCCCCTACAGCTCAAAGAAGTGCAAGGTTACTGGGCTGTGTGTAAAGCAGAATGCTTAAAGATTTGGTCTCTAAGCAGAATACTTTTATGCAGTAGCCATTAATGTTTATTTTTGGAGGAGATCAAAGAAGCAATCTGAGTTGGACTGCTACAATGGTAAAACCAACTTATTTTAAAAACACATGCTTTTTTTTCTTTTTTTCTTTTTTGACTCCTCAGACAACAAGGAACTTGGCCATAGGCTACTCCGTGGCTGAACCTTTCACATTTAGATCACTACTTCAATCCAAGTTACATCCAAAGTAATTTGGAGTCAGTCTGAGGAGAGAGCATAACTCCTTTGAATTCAAAAGTCAGCAGGTTTTTGTTGCATAATTTGTAATGGTGTGAACTGTCTCATTAACAAGGGCTCCATTAGAATGAGTATAACAACAGCTGAAGGTAACAATCGGTGAACTATTTATATTCTGAAAACACTCAAAGAGTGTTTTTACTACTCAAAGGGTAGTAAAAGTCTTGCATTACCTTCTGTAGTTGTTTTTGTTTGGGTGGGTTTGGTTTTGGTTTTTGTTTTTTTTTTTTTAATGGTTAAAAGGTGATTTCATTGCCCTTGTTGATAATACTCATCTGTTTAATATGCAGACTGTTGAGGAAAAGACTGCCTTTGTTTTCTTCTCTCTCTCCTGAATTTCACTTTTGTTAGAGACCAAGTTTACCTGACAGTGAAATTATGGCAGCTTCTAATGAACTGTGGTGTTTATGTAGTTTTGTAAGTGTCAGTGTTTCAGAAGTGGTTACAATATTGCAAGAGAAGATGGGAATCCTGATCCATTCTGAGTGAATTCAGATATAATGAATGTATTTGCAATAAAGTATACTACAAGTTGATTGTAGGATGGAGCTCCTCTGTAAATTTCATTAAGTAGGTAGCTTTTCTATAGTATGTGCTATAAGTGTTGCAAATATTGTTTTGCTGTGTCTTAAGCACACCACATGAATACAAAAGTAGCCATAATATATTTTCACTCCTTTCTAAATTTTGATTTTGGTGTGATTTAAGAAATATTGACCTATGACATGTATGCATGGACATAGAATCTAAGTCAAAAAAGTTTGGAACATAAAAACCCCAAGTTCTATATAAATATATAGTATGAATGTCTTAAGTCTTAGACACTAAGGCTTTCAGCTTGACAATTATGATTTTTTTCAAAATAGTGTTGATCACAGTCATGTGGATGAAGTAGAATTACTGTCTGTTAAGTTTTAGTGAGTGCTATCTAAGCAGACAGATGGACTGGGAAAGAACCTGTGCTGTTGGGAACTGCACCTCTCTATAAGCTGTTCCCATGCATTCATGACACATGAAGGGAATTTGTAGACTGAGTTTAGTTATTGCAAAACCTTTTATATCATTCCTGTGTGTAGGAAGGTGAGTGAAAGCTTATGACTTCTTAATGAAGTCATCTTTTCTCTGACAGTTATTTTCCTAAATTGCTTTTTGAGCATTAGACTTAAATAGCCATAAACAAAATAAGGAATGTAAACAGAGTGAGTAAAACTGCATTACTTTTCAGTGAGATTTCAGTTGCAAGGTTTGAAGCATATGATATTAACTAGCCATGACTGAATGAAAAAGTGAGAGAAATAGCACCTTTTCTATTTTCAAAACCGAACAGTAATAATGCTTTAAAAACAGAAATAAACTCTTGAAGTGTGGATTTATCCAGTGAAAGAGGTCATACAGACCTCTTCTTTTGTTTTAAAATCAATTTGTAGATGTAATTAAATAAGTATATCAGCTGGTTTGTGGGATACTCTATTAAACAAAATCCTCTAGTGTCATGCATCACTATTTAAATGCGTTTCGTGTGAGATTTCCCAATTAAGTAGTGCTCTACATATTTTTGGTCTTTGTGAAGACACACTCTTTTAATTTTTTTTTGTTGTTATTTAAATATAAATAAATGGTTTACTGGGTTTCCCGTGCTACCTTAGCTTAATAATTGATGCAAGTCTCTGAAAGAAGTTAAGGGTTTTTTTTTTTTTTAAGAAGTTTAAGAATTTCACTGCAGGTTGTATGGAACTAACTGGAGTTATTTCAGGTTTACACACATAATTGGAGAAGAGATTTGGCTTAGCTTCATGATCCATTCATGCAGTGCTTAAAAGTCACGGAAATATTTATGCTTGGCATCCAGTATGCTAAATATTATTATTTATTTCATATGTAGTTGTTAACTAATCTATTTACTTTTTTTAAAGACTCTGATAATGGAGATGTTAATTATGATTATGATCATGAGCTGTCTTTGGAAATGAAGCGCCAAAAGATTCAGAGAGAACTCATGAAGTTGGAACAGGAAAACATGGAGAAACGAGAGGAAATAGTCATTAAAAAAGAGGTTTGTATTATGTAAATGTGAAACTAAAAAAATAAGTCATCAGCCACTTCATAGACTTCTAATTGTTTCCTGGAAGACTTGAGCTTCCTGGGCTGCAAATGCACTATTGTGTTACATAGTAGTAAGTAGCTGGCACATGTATAACTTAGCATGTGACTTGGATATTAGTTGTGAGTATCTGGTCAGTCATCCAGCACCATAACCAAGTTTTCTGCTTTATGAAGTCAGCTATTAAATGAGTCGGATTTAATGCATTTTAATGATATAAAACTAATAAGACCTTTAACAGAGAAGACATGTAGAAGAAAACACAAGGCATTTGCCAAGCTCCTTTTCCAACATGTCTTGTAGTAACAGAGTAAAGTAGAGTGACAGAGGCAAAGCTGTAAGTGTTAGAAACCCTAAAATTTTGGGGAAGATTTAAAAAAAAAAAAAGGCTGAAAGGAGCTTTCTCTTTTTCAGGCAAACTTGAATGTACTGATTTTAAACTTTTAGTTACAGTTTTTGTAATGGATTACAGAGTGCATCATCTCCTCTTCCTGCACCCTTTTCCTGTTGTCTTCCTTTTATGGTGTTCTTTGAAAACCATGTGGTTAGTTTATTTGAGGTAGATGTGTACATGGTTAAGATCTTAGAAGTAGACTATTACTGAATTTACATATTTGATACGTATATCAGGATACAGGTAAGCTTTTGAGCATCAATATCTTACCGGTTAATATATTTTTTTCCTCAAGATTTCTCCAGAGGTGGTTAGATCTAAATTATCACCATCGCCATCACCAAGGAAGTCTAGCAAATCTCCAAAACGAAGATCCAGTCCTAAATCATCTTCTTCAGCTAGTAAGAAAGAGAAGAAAGCATCTACAATGTCTTCCCCACTTCTGGATCAGAGGTCAGTATGTAGATGCATCTGGCGAGAAAATGAGAACAGAGAACCACGCTGATTTTTATTATTGGGGTTTTCATAATTAATATGGGTTTTCATTTTCCTTGCTTTCAGGACTTTTGATTATATAATTTTAGGGGAAAGTCTCTAAATTGTGCACTGTTAATCATCTTATGCATAAAGTTGTTATATGCATGTAGTTGTCAGCTGATTAATTTCATGGCTTACAAGCAGGTCTTTTCTCTTTGAATGTCCAGAATCTCTGGGAGGTGATGAGGAAATCTAAACCATTAAAAAGTGGGAAGCAGTTTTATTTGAGATGCTGCAGCCTGCGAAGTAGCTCCTCTAGACTGAAGTGAAATGTTTAAAATTTGACCAACTGCACATTCTGTTCGTATTGCATATTGCTGTTCAGGAAATAATATTTGACTTTCAAGGCAGGGAACTTCTCAGAATTCAGGAGGGGAAAAGAAGTGGGGGATGTGGAGGGAAAAATGGAAGGACAAGTTATGTGAAAATCACAGGAAGTTAAAACTGGGCGCCTTGCCACAAAAAATCAATCTCGAAAACCTGTTTCTAAGTTCTTGCTGGCTGCAGGACCTTTTGAATCACTGTTTGCAGCTTTTAGATAGGAAAGAAATTACTGCGGCAATGTAAGCAGACACATCTGTATTTGCTAAGCAAAAATCCCCTTTAAAATAGGGACAAAACAATGTTGTTTCTGCTGCAAGAATGTACGGTGTGGGCTAGTATGCTACTGACATTCAGTATGAGTGATACTTAGTTTATAGGGTTTATGTCAATGGCAGTTTATATGGAAAAATATATACTATTTCATATTGTGAGATGCATATTCAAAAATATTTGGATGCTTTATCTTGTGTTAGGTAGTTAACATTAAATTGAAGACATGAGTTGTTCAAGTCATATTGTGTGTGATTGGGGTATTGCATTGCAGAAATGGGAGTCTAAACAGACAAGATACTCTATAGAGTTCTGGTCCTCTGATGTGTGCAGTTCATGCAAGGACATTTTAACTTTGAAAACTGGTTCTGTCTGAACAGGAGCAGTTCCTATTTTTGTTCACTTGCTTCAGAAATAAAGGTTATAAATGGAAAAGCTCAATGTGAATTTTTACCATCTGCATTCACCCTTCAGTCAAATACAGTTATGGAATGCTGCTTGCTAATGGAGTGGTGAATCCTATCCTAAAAGCTTCAAGGCCCTTTACGTTATAACTTTCCTGCCAACATCTGAGAAATCATTACTTGAAATAGTTGGCAGTCCTTCATTTTTTCCCCCCTCCCTGTTAATTTATCTCTAGGAGTTCTAAAAGTAACCAGAGTAAAAAGAAAGGTCCTCGTACACCTAGTCCTCCTCCTCCAGTACAAGAGGAAACCTCCCTGGGAAAAAGACACAAAGAAAAACATAAAGCAAAAGAACGTTCAGAAGAAAAGGCAAGGGAGGTGAAGGAGAGAGGGCGTGACTTTGAAAGGCACAAGGAGAAAAAAGAGAAGCAGAGGTACGTTATGGTGGATTATTAGCTTTTAACATTAATGTAACCTTGCTTTTAAAGTTATCTTTTATAGAACCTGAATAATAAGGGATTTATACCTGCTTTGCCAACAGGCTTTTCAGTACTCATTAAATATTTTAAGTACGTTATATAGATGGATTGATAGACTGTAACTAACAGGTTGGTAGGTTTTAATTACATAACTTACTAAGTTTGTAAAATGCCCTTTTGAAAGATTCATTACTTTTCAGGAAGTTGGACCTTCACCAATGGAGCAATTCATTTGCCAAAATCTTTATCAAAGTCGTTCACTTGTCCGTTTGCCTGCTCTTCTGAAATCTTAGAGGACTAATATCTTTCTAAATTGGCAGTAGCACGTTTAAACTCTCCCTTATCTTCAGTAGGTTAAAAGTATTTCTGAAGTAGTCAAAGTCTACTATGATTTTAGAATTACTTCACTTTTGCATGTCTCTCTCTCTCTCTCTTTCTCTTTCTCTCTCTCTCTCTCTCTCTCTCATGGTGGACTAATACAACTATTCCCATTATTTTCTAAAGCATGGGTGTCCTTTTAAGTTGAAAAACACAACATCTGCATTTTTAAGTCCTGTATTCCCTTGATGAAAACAGGGTACATGTTTGTAAGTGTTTACTTTGTAACTGTCATAGCAAAGACTAAGGAGTGGAAGACCAGCAAATTGTGTGTTTTTAATTGATTAAATAAATTACACCTTTCTTACTTTAAAATATATTATTTCCCTCATGCTTGCACACTCCGTTACTGGAAGGAGGTCATACACAGTAGAAAAGAACATTATAGGTAGTGCTGAAAGGATCAAGAGAGTACTTGGCTTATTTTTGTACTATGATCAGGTATTGCTGTGGTGACTACAACCATTTATATCAGTGTTGGATTTTTGTCTTTTTTTTCTAAATAATAAAAATTAAGAAATAATAGTTAAATCTTCATGATGTAAGTGAAATAGTTGAAGGTTCTGACAGATCTTTCATACATTTGCAACTGTGATTACTGTTTGAAAATGTCTGTGAGCTTGAGGCTTCTTAAATAAAGTTCTGACATTACAGAAATTTTTAAATAGGGTAGCAAGTTAATTCTGCATTGATAGGAATTCTGTTTCACTGCCACATGAAATATTAGGTAAAATTACAAGAATATATTTTTGGTTTTACCATATTCTAGTTTTGTATTTTGCAGTCCGGTGATTAGCAAGAACTTTAGCGCGTATCTTGCATTCTTGAGTTTTGCTAGCTTAAGGTAATTTCATGTAAGAAATTCTAGATGGAACACATGATTCTGTAAGATAGTTCTTGATCTTGTAAGCGCAGGTTCTGTCTTGGAGTTCTTTGTAATTTCTTAGAAATGTACTAATGCCATATTACATCTGTTAAACAAGCTGCTGTTTATGTTTCCCAGGGATCCCTCTGAAAGCTCCCATAGACAGAAGCTTTCTCCTAGTCCTGCAGATCACTCTGGCAGTAATTCTTCCCCTTCCAGGGAGTATTCACCACCTGCTGCAAGGCGAAGACAAACCTCCCGAGCTCCAGCCAAGTCAACCACTCACAAACGTAACTTCTCACCCTCTCGCAGGTGGGAGGTCAATTGCATGGATTTTATTTCCGTGAATAGTTCTAGTTTAGAAACTTCCTGTGTTGGTTTGACTACTTGTTTGTATGTGTCTGTTGTGGGTATGTGTGCCTCAAACACTTGAGCTCTGAGACTTCTTTTTTTTGCCAAGTTACTACATTGAGAGTACCTGTCATGTCAAGAACACAAGTCATGGTGCAGGCTTCCATTTATCAGTTCCTCTCAAATGTTCTGGCTTCGGGTGGAACTTCAGAAGTCTGATAAGAGACATAGTCAGTCTGTGATCCTTTGGGAACTTTTTTTTTATTTTCTTCCTCACCTTCCCCCTTCTTAAAAAAATAGAAAATTAGAGGAGTCTTCTATCTTGGAGATGGGGAAGGAGCAGAGTTTCTCTGTTCAAAATGGGTGATACACAGATCCTGGCTGTACACATCTTTCCTGAAAAGCAAGCACAACTGGCTAAACAGTACAATACGAGGACAATTTCAGAGATCCTTCTTGCAGGAAGCTTCAGGGAAGATATCATCCTGCTAGTTCTAGAGGCCTTGTGACGTTTGCAAGATATTCAGCAAAAGCTGTGTTACATACATTTCTTTACCAACTGCTGGGCTGTTGCAGAAGATTGCAGGGAGGTACTACTGCCTTTGGTGAAGTAGTCCCTCATTTGTGAGTCACCTGAAACTGAGATCTTCATCTGTATGATCTGGATGTTTATTTGAAATCAGCAATACTGTACAGGGACATTCAAAAGCGGAAACTAAATTACGTAAAATTAAGTGGGATTTTTGAAGATGTATTGTCCATGTGTGGTTTTTCTGACTCCTGCTCTTCTCTTTGGAATCTCTGCAATTTTGTGAAGTGGAAGGGAGTTGGAAGTTAAGGGCAATGCCTGTTTCATGGGAGAAGATACTTGCGAGTTGCTTTGCTGCTAATAAGGGAAAAAAACACCACTGAGCTCAAAGGCTTGAAGTGTGTGTTTGTCCACATTAGACTGTGCATGGGATAACGTATTATGAGGAAATTTGTTTACTATTGTGTAAATGATCTTTAGTTAAGTGATGGGGTTTTGAAGATGAGAGACGTTTTGTATGCTTTTTCTTATTCTGTTAGATATGAGTTTTCCCTGTTTGTGTAAACATTCATGTTTGCTAAAATTTTAAGTAGATATGCATACGGGTTTTCAGGATCCAGGCTTATAATAAAAGAAAGAAGTTAAAAGTCCACAAGAAGGAGACACTGTTGCTTTCTAAAAAATTGAATGCTGTTGGAAACAAAAGAAAAATTCCCCTTGGGTAACACTGCGTAAAAGTTATCTGCCTAATTTTACCATGAACTCTAAAAAGCATTTTATATTGAAGAAAACAATTGTTCTTGGTTTGGGGGTGGGGGAGATGATCATGGTTTTTTTCCTGACTCCTCCCTCCCTTCCTCAGGAAAGCATTCTGGTAGCTGTGTAATACAATTTTGATTGGACAGCTTGTTCTTGGATATTAAATAAACGATAACCATTTCATACTTTGAAAGGATACCTTGGTACCCTTGAGGGAAGACTAGTTTGATGTTTTATAGAAACAGCACTTACTTTCAGCAGACAGAGGGTAGAGAATGCACAAATTATTTTAATCACTCATTTTTGTAGGGTATGGTAAGAACTTTTCAAATCAAGTTATTACATGTGTGCCTATTCTAACTCTTCCTTGCAGGTCTGCTTCCCCTTCAGGTCATCATCATTCTCCCATATCCTCCAGACATCACTCCTCTTCATCACAGTCAGGCTCCTCTGTTCAAAGACATTCTCCTTCCCCACGCCGCAAAAGAACTCCTTCTCCATCCTATCAAAGGACAGCTTCCCCGCCTGCAAGGCGATCATCTTCTCCCTATCCCCCGCACTCTTCCTCTTCTCCTCAGAGGAAGCGAAGCCCTTCAAGACACCGATCTCCTGGAAGAGAAAAGGGAAGACATGATCGTGATCGGACTTCACAGTCTCATGATAGGCGCCATGAAAGGAGGGATGGTATGAATAAAAAATAGCACTTCAGAATAATATTTATTTGTTTGCAAATGCATTTTGAAACTTGATTTTCAAATTGTGGCATTGTCTGCACCTGTCCCAATGGCTAGGGGGTGAAGAAAATACCAGCTGTATTATTATTCCTGTGCTGGTGGTGCTGTTTCCAGGGACTGTGCAATGGAGTGTTCCTGATAGGACTGCTTGTGTAGGCTCAGCTGATTGTAAAGATCCTGTAGGCATCTGTCTAGGTGTTTCTTGTGTAATGCAATGGTGGTGTCAGTAGGTAAGTGATCTTCTCTTGGTATCAGGCATATACTAGTGGATCAGCTGAGTGATGGCAGGATACTTGTAAGTAACTATTACTCTTTTCTGTGAGGTGCCCAAATGCTAATCCAGTCCTCACTGATTGCTCTGTCTATTGTCTTTTTAATTGACATTAAGTGAGGTGTGTGCAAAGAAAGAGTCATTCCCTCTGGAAATCTGTAAAGCTGGTTGAGCAATTTGTGATGGGCAAACATGCTGTTTCTCTCAAGAGACAGATTACAAAGAGTACATATGGCAGCTTTTTTTAGACTGGCTGTAAACTTACCTTCCTGTAGCAGTAACATTATAAATATGTAATTTGGGGCGGGGGGAAGACTTTAGCAGGGCATTGAGGTCTTAAAAGCAAGTGGTCTAAATATAGCACAAATTTCCTGAAAGCGTGTGTGTGTGTGGAGGAAAAAAGGAATCTGTGATTGGAGGAGAAATGATCCTACCTTAAAATTATTGAAGTGTGCTTGCTCTCTAATATGTTTGAAATTTATTTTTATTATACTTGTTGTCTTTTGAACAGGTAAATATTTGTAAAGTACAGATTCAAATTCACAAAAAGATCTTTAAAGCTTACTGAATGTATAGGTAGATACCAAACATGATCTTCTCCTACTTACATATTAATTTTGATTTTCTGTGTGTATGTCAGAAGTATATTTTGATTGTATTATTTTAGTGTTATTTGTGTGCTAAATTTTTGTTTGCTCTGATTAAGCTAGGTATATAACATTCTTTTAAACATTTTACAGAAACTAGAGGGAAAAGGGAAAAAGAAAGAGAAACAAGAGATGATCGTGATTATGACCAGGAGCAGAGTACCTCCAGGGATCATAGAGATGACAGAGAGTCTCGTGATGGAAGAGATCGGAGGGAGACAAGAGACAACAGAGATCGGAGGGAGCCAAGGGAATCCAGAGACACTCGAGACTCTAGAGATACGAGGGATTATAGCAGAGATACCAAAGATAGTCGTGATCAGAGAGACTCGCGCTCCACACGAGATTCCCATGACTACAGAGACAGAGAGAGTCGCGACGCTCATAAAAAGGATGACCAGTATCAGGAGGACTCGCGCAGCTATGGAAGATCCCATGGCAGAGAAGAGAGCTCTCGTGCTGAAACAAGGAATGACTCTAGAAGTGACTCCAGAAATGAGAGCAGAAGTGATAGAACTGGCAGAAGTCGAGGCAGAGGTCCAGAATTATCTGACAAGGGTATTGCGTGATTTAAAAAATTACTGTGTCCCTATCATTGGATATTGAATATTGACATTCATACTATGTTGTTTGATATTTGATATGGAAGTGCAGCCAAATAGTTCATGCTTTTAAAGCTATGTTCAATTCTGTTGTCATCGAATTAGAACACTTGTTTAAATTTGTAGCACTTCTGTGTTCTCCGTTCTTTGAAGTGGCATAACATTGGTATTCTGCCATCCCATTTTAAAACAAACCCTAACCCTTACAGCACTCTATTTAATGTTTCTGCAACCCTAGGTTTTCCCTTACAAACACAAGTAAGAGGCTGATGTGTAGTGGAAGACTCGTAGGGGGCAGTAGGAAGACTCGTAGGAAGACTCGTGTCTCAAAGTGCTGGGCAACAGTTTTTTTGTTTTCTCTCAAAAGCAACTGTATGTCTGAGATACCCGAAAACTATCTTTCACCTCCCTGCCCTTCTTGATTGACCAAAGAAAGTGGGATTTTTAACCTTAGGCAGTGTTTTTGAAAGCCTGATGCACTTTGTAGAACAGCTTCATTTATCCCCTTCTAATGATCTGTAGTAAATATATTTTGGCTTTCTCAGGCTTATTGTGATTTTTTCATGAGGAAAATGCCATGCAATTTTTACGGAAAAAATGATCTCTACTTTCTCTTCTTATTCCAGTCTATAAGTTTACATCCTACTCAAACAAATGTGAACTGGATTTTGGACTGTTATATTCCTAGTCAGAAGACCTCATGCTGTGACCAGGGGATGGTGATTTAGAAAGTCTTGAGTTTGCAGTTTGAAAAGAATAACTTTACCATTAAAATGTGAAATTTGAGAGTTGTTGGTTAAGTAGAGTTTGATGCTGCAATTTCTATTGCTGTGAACCGTTAATTCAAGTTTATTAAAAGTTACTACTTTAGCTGGTATAAAATATCAGTGGATTTCCTTACATGTGGAAACTCATCTTTTATATTGATACATTTCTATTAGGAAGTCGGGGGACTAGAGGATCCCAGGTTGATGGTCACAGCAGTAGTGGAAACTACCATGACAGCTGGGAATCAAGGAATAGCTACCCTGATCGGGATCGCTATGACAGTCGAGAACAAGCAAGGGATTCCTCCTTTGAAAGAAGACACGGTGAACGGGACAGGCGTGACAACAGAGAAAGAGGTATTTTAATGCATATTTTTACACGTACATATGTAGTCAAATGTGTGTGTACGTATGTTTCTCTCTCCTTCCTCTTTTTTTCTTTGTTCCACCCCCATAGCACTAATTCATAAATAACTTATTTGACATGGCACACTGACATCCTATCCTTGATGTAAGTTAACTTCTGTAGTAGGATCTGTCATTGGCAGTGTATGCGTGAATGCTATGCCCTTTCTCCCTTCCTGTGGCTAGATTTTGGCACCTTCTGTTTTTACTCATCCGAGTAGTCTTTAAGCAAACTGAACTTCAAGAAATTTCATTGTACAACTTCAGTGTAAAACATTTTTTCCTCCTCTTTGCTGCTTCCTCCACTTCATATGCATACGCATATAAGCTTAGAGTCATGACTGCATTTCATTACTGGTTCTCTTTGTCTGTATAGAAACATAATACTTTTGCACTGTAAATTACTTGAGTGTGTTTTGGGGAAGCCCTGATTACTAGACTGACTGACTTACTGACTACTTACTGCTAAAGCAAGTGACAGTTTAAATTTATCATTAATTCAAAAATTTATTGCCTGGGGAATTTAATATTGATGAATGCTTTGTTGTGGTCAATAATAATTGGCTAGTAAGCGTTGGTACAGATACCAGTGGTCATAGAAAGAGTATGCAAGACTGTTCTTTTAGACATAGTATGCAAGATGTCACATTTCTGGACCTGAAAGAGTACTGTGTTGTCTCTAAGGAAGTTAGTACCAACTTTCACTCTGGAAAATATTTGTATTGTTCACCAATTAAGAGAACAGGAGGAGTCAGGCAAATGAAAACAGCATGGAAATTAAATGAGGAGCTGTGAAGAATAAATATAAAATTACAGTGGGGTGGTTTTTTTCTATCTTGGGTTTTGATTTGGAAGTGACAGATGTGTTCTAGCTGTTGTTTAAGTTCGGTTTTTTAAAGAGGTGTTTTGTACGTTACTTTGTGAGGTGCTTTTTGGTCCATTGAAATGTATCTATTATTGCTTGTCCTTGTGACAAGTTCTGCTTTAGATTCTGTCTCATCTTCAGGGCAGAATTTCAACTAACCTAATCTCCAGGCTTCCTTTTTCTTGTCCGCTGAAAAATCCTGCAGTCTGAATTTGTCCTGGGGGTTGGCTTTTGCAGACTAGCTTTCACCTCTTCCACCTTCCCAGCCCAAATAAATCCTAGATATATTATAATGTAATTTGTGCTTTTCATATCATATAGAGTTCTTAATTTATTAAGAAAAACATTAAAAAAAACCCCACAACAGCAAAAAGTAAAGTAAGAAGTAAAAATATGTCATCACAACAAAATAAATTTCTAGAAGGCAAGTTGCTTTGAATGGGTTGTGTTTCCCTTTGGGGAGAAGAATGTAAAGAGCTTAAATGGAGATAAGATGTGTTGTTTTCTTCCTTAAAAATTTAGATTGCTTTTTGTAATAGTAAATCCTCCTAAAAGTTACAATTCAAGACATAGTTTCCGTAATTAGACCACAGTTTTAACATTTGTTGTTGAGAGAAAAATGGAGATAGATTTTGGTTGGTACTTAGTTCTATGATACATAAGGAATCTTTTTAGTATGATTTTAAAATGTAAGCTTGCAAATTTGGGCTGTCCTTGTTCAACTAAGGCTAACATGTAGGTGTTCCAAACAATCACTGGAACAGCGCTTCAAATAATGAAATCACATAAGAAGTGCTGGCTATCCACGCTTAATTGTCTAATACACTTCCAGTATCTTGATTCATGTAAGAGTTTCATGTAGATGTTTTGTCACCAAAACTGACATAACAAACAGGAGTTACAAAACTTCTGTATAAAATTTAATACTTAGTATGCATGATAAATCGTATTATAATGTTATAGGTACTGTTAAAAGAATGTGAAACCTGTTCATGGAACCAATTGCATGGACTGATGATTTGCCATTTTAAAAAAGAAGTGTTACATCCATGGCAGAAATGTCACTCAAGTTTGCTTTTAATTTTACCTGGTAGCAGGGGAGCATTAAGTCATTGTTAATTCACTCAGAGATGAAAATTGATTAAACTGATGGAAATGCATGTTTTATTGATTTAGTCCCATTCAAACTCTGCCTGCTTGCCCCTGGTGGACATTGTCTCAATTTCCAGTGAAGTGCACTCAGCCCCAGAGTAATGGACCGAAAAATACCAACCTCTGTTCATGCCATTTTTTGCTCTTTTGTGTAGTGTTTTTAATATATATTGTGGGAAAATAGTTTTATTGATTTGTTGTGATTCAAATACTACTAACATCAGCGTAGAAATTGTTATAAAGTGGTCAAAATTTATAGAAATATTTTTAAAAAAATTCCAAAATATAACAAAATGCAGGTAAATCTGTGGAGAGTAAATACCATTAGATAAATCAAGTTTCACTGTCCTTTTGGATCAGTCATTTTCTATATAAATTTAGTTTTCTCCATTACTCTAATTCACTGTCTGAACATTGAAAAACTCAGCTTCTAAAACTGTAAGGCTCTGCAATGAATACATACGGAAACTTCCAGCAGTTCTGCTTCCTGTATTGCATCCTTGCCTCTCCCTTTCTCATGGATTTGGTTGTGTATTTCTCTCCCTTTCTCATGGATTTGGTTGTGTATTTCTGTTCAGGGATCTCTTCTGTGATGAGACAGGCTAGTATTTCTTATTTTGCAGTAACTTTTACTGTGTATTATAAATAGTGTGAGTTCTTGTAAAGCCCATGACTCTTAACAGTTTCAGGAAGTAAAATTTTTGTACAGAAGTCCTAATATTTCATTTTCAAATGTATGTCATTCCGAGCTTTTCAAGACCTTATACCAAATTTTGAATCATTGAGTAATGCAATAGTATTAGCTAGGCTGTGAGGCGTACAATTATCTTTTGAAGCCATTCAGAAAAATCTGGTAGCAAATAAAATTTTTGTAGTAACTTTTGGCTAAAATAAGGAAAGCCTTATATCCCTAAATATTGAAAAAAACTTTCAAAATTTGTCTTTTTCCCTCCCCAAAGAGAATTTCCAAGTTTCTGCAGGGAGTTCCTTTTCATTTAATGCAAACCAATATCTAGATTGTCAAAACAAAAGCTTTTGGGTTTTTACCACTGTAGTGGAAGCGGTGTATGTCCCTTTAGCATTTAGTAGTCAAACCTGACTCTCTTCACAGATCAGAGAGCAAGCTCACCAGTACGACATCAAGGACGAAGCGATGACCTCGAGCGGGATGAAAGAAGAGAAGAGCGAAGGGTAGATCGGTCTGATGATAGGAGAGATGAAAGGGCCCGGGAGAGAGAGCGAGAAAGGGAGAGGGACCGAGAGAGGGAACGAGAGAGAGACCGGGAAAGAGAAAGGGAGAAGGAAAGAGAGTTGGAACGAGATCGTGCTCGGGAGAGGGAGAGGGAGAGAGAGCGGGACAAAGACAGGGACCGCGAGCGTGACCGAGACAGGGACCATGACAGGGAAAGGGAACGAGAGAGGGAGAGGGAGAAGGAGCGAGAGCGAGAGCGGGAGGAACGAGAAAGGGAGCGAGAGCGTGAAAGAGATCGAGAGCGGGAACGAGAAAGGGAGAGAGGTCGGGATAGGGATAAAGAAAGAGACCGCCAGAGAGACTGGGATGACAAAGAAAAAGGAAGGGAAGATCGCAGGGATAAGAGAGAAGATATCCGAGAAGAAAGAAGTTCAAGAGATGTCCATGAGGAAAGAAAATCCAAGTGAGTTGATCTGAATGTTACTTCGGTAAAAAAAAAAAGAAAAAAAAGTCTTTGATTTCAGTAAGTTAGTAAGCAGGGGAGTATCATAAGAAGGAAGATACCCTGTTTATGCAGAGGCCTGGTCTTGAGCCATGTCTCCCCTGCATCTGTGTGGCACGTACTCGTGGCCCCAAAATCAGTACTATGCTAGTGAAGTTAATCTGATGCTTTGTTAGTGCAGGACTGTGGAACTACTCAGGAACTAACAATTGAGTCAGACCGTGTAATTTTCCCTTCTAAGTATACTTGTGTGGCCTTGTCTTTAATAATGCAGGCATTCTTGGAAGCATAATAGCGGTCTGTGGTACCTTTTGAAGCCTGGCAAGTCAGATAGTAGCTAACTAGGTCAAGGTTCATGACTTTGTTAATTAAATTTCTGTGGAACATACATTACCTTTTGCACTACTAGATTTTCAATACCAGAAGGCTACCAGTGAGGGCATGAGCAATATCCCGAGTAAGTGTGTGGTGCTTCCTTTAAGTGTGTAGCACCGATTCTTTTTTTCATTTAGTACAATAAAATTCTCATTGTTCCATCAATAATAAGCAAAACGGTGTTGCCCTGAATGGCTGCTTTGCTTGGAAGTAGCTTTTGTGTGAGAGAATTGTGGATCCCTATAAATCATCTAGTATGGGCTCTCCCCCATCTCACTAGGGGAGAAGTGAGCAAGCATCTAGGTGGCAGCTTAGCTGCCAGCTGGGGTCAACCCACTGCAAGGATTATTGCCACAGGAAAAAATTGATCTGAATAGTCTTTCACAACTTTTTGCTAAGAAGATAGTTGTCTTACATGTTAGAGTTTTAGTTTAAGGTATCTTACAGTATGATCAGAAAACTGATCATACTTAAAGTTTTGGAATAACAACTTAGAAAGCTACAAAACTTCCTGGCATCCATAGATGTGTTGTCTTCTCTATGAAGTGCTTAGACTTCAGGGATTGTATTGATGATAAACTCAATTATTGAATGTTTTCGTTAAAGAATCCTGAAGAAATTTGACTGTACATGTTTGTTCCGCAGGAAGCGTCACAGAAATGAAAGCAGTCCAAGTCCTCGTCAGTCACCCAAACGTCGCCGTGAGCACTCTCCTGATAGTGATGCTTACAACAGTGGAGATGATAAAAGTAAGTAGGAGTTGGCTATCTCTGCAGCAGGATCCAGCTTACCCTCTGCCTATGGAAAGTAACTTGCAATCTTAAATAGAAAAAAACATGGGGCAAGTTTTTATAAGTGTCCTCCTCCCCTTATTTTTATAAGCAACACCATTTTTCTTAATGTATATTTTTGTCTTTTTGTCTTCATTCTGTCACTGTATGTTACATCTGCCAGGTGATAGTGGCTTCCACATCTGTTGTTTAAGATGCATGTTTACCAAAATGGAAATAGTCTGTTGCTGCTGCAGCAGTAGAAAAACTGAAGAAATGTAACTGAAATAATGGTTATTTGTTTTGATTGACACTTTTTTGCATGCACAAGATACCAAATGTTTACGTGTTGTTCTTCCTAAACAATACAAGTACATGCTTTTTCCCATTTTGTAGATGAAAAGCACAGACTTCTGAGCCAGGTTGTGCGGCCACAGGAATCCCGGTCACTAAGCCCCTCTCACATTACAGAAGAGCGGCAGAGTCGCTGGAAAGAAGACGAGCGAAAATCGGACAGAAAGGAAAGTTCGCGGCGTTATGAAGAATCAGAGTTTAAAGAGAGGATTTCTTCAGCAGATAAGCAAAGAGAGCAACCAGATGCTTCAGAAGGCTCCCGGTCCAGGGTTCAGGAACATCTTGGACACCGTCCCTCTGAAGAAAGAGATGCTTCTGATAGAATGCATGATGATAGCAAGAAGAAGTCTAAAGTACAGAAAAAGGCCACAAAGAAGAAGAAAGATGATGACAGTGGGGTGGAAAGGTACACTAATGAATCAACGACTGAGGAAAGCCAGGTCTTTTCACCCAAGAAAGGTCAAAAAAAGAAAAATGTAGAGAAAAAGCGGAAGAGGTCCAAGGGTGATTCTGAAGTTTCTGATGAAGAAATTGTTCCACATCATAAAAAGAAGAAAGGCCCAAGAACACCCCCTGTAACAAAAGAAGAATTGGTTGAAGCACCACCTGAGAAAGCTGTGGCAGAAGTCCCCCAAAAAAGAGAAGATACAACATTTAGTGACTGGTCAGATGAAGATGTTCCTGAACGCGGTGATATTGTTGTTCCAGAAAGAAGCACTGAGGACTCCCATAGAAAAAGTCACAGGACGAGGGGTGAAAAGGTGGAAGCCCCTCATGTTACTATAGACGATGGACCACACCGTAAACCCGTGGATCAGAAGCGCAGCAGCAGCCTTGGTAGCAATCGGAGCCATGCCTCAAGCAGACTTAGATCCCCTTCCAATGAGTCAGCTCATCGCAGTGGAGATGACCAGACTGGACGGAAGAGGATCCTGCACAGTAGCTCTAGAGACAGGGATAGGGACAGGGAAAGTAGAAATCACTGGGGAACGGAAGTCCAGAATTGATCAGTTGAAACGAGGGGAACCCAGTCGCAGCACATCTTCAGGTAATAAGATACATTTTAGTGAGACTGACCTATCGTTCTGTGTAAAAGTGTGAAGGTATAAATCCCAAATCATTCTTGCATGGCTGCATACTCTTTTCATTTGCAGTTAGTGTGAAGGGAGAGGGAGGTGCTCTCTGCCATTCACTGTAAAACTACAGTGAATTGAGATTCCTGCAGGTGTTACCATATTTGAAGAGCTGGTCCTCAGCGGGGAGGATTACCACTTTGTTTACACCAAAACATTCAGTCGGATTCAGTTCATGCTGCCTGGGGAATAAAGTAATTAGTAGGACAAAAAAAAACTCGTAGAAAGAGAAAACACTTGTGCTAACAGAACATTGAGGTAGTTTTATCATCTAAATAATGTTCTTAAATTCGTTATTAACATTAATTTTGATATGGAAATTCTGAAATCTGTGCAAAATGAAAATGTGTCTTCTCTCTGGGAGAGAGATCCATTATCATCTCAGGAGCTATTTTCACTGAGGTAAATCTCATGGTTCTTGTTAGGCATACTTTTAATGCATATGGAAGTAATCTTTGTTACAAATCAAAATAATCACAATTGACTTGTTTTATTTGTGTAGTTCCTGAAGAAAAAAAAAAAGGGTAAAATGTTTTAAAATTTGAACAGCATCGCTAGGAAAATATCTTCCTCCTAAAGCACTTTGGCTCTCTGTTCTCCTCATGGTTACATACCTGAAATTATTTTTCTGAATTTATCATTTGCTAGCCAAGGCATAGCTTTTAGAAGACATGTTTTGAAAATTTTGAATTTTAAGATGATTCCTTTCTCCCTCTCCGTCCCCCCCCGTTGCCTAAATTTCTGAGTTATAATGATGTGCCTTCAGTTTGGCTTCTGTCATAGTAGAAAGTAGCCACTAAAAATCTTTTTCTGGAGTGGGAGAAATACCTTATTGTCCTGGTTTTGGCTGGGATAGAGTGGTGCTTAGTTGCTGGCTGGGGTTAAACCACAACACTTATGTTTTTAAGTAACGTTAAATCTAAAGGCAATCTGAAGGCATTATTAATTTGAAGGTGATGCTTTTGAGAAGTACATTTTCATACCTGAATCTTTGATCTAGTAAAATGGTGTTACATTTACATGCTGTAGTCATACATATATTTAAACTATTTAAACTATTTTATTCAGATCGTCAAGATTCAAGAAGCCACAGTTCAAGAAGAAGTTCTCCTGAATCAGATCGTCAGGTCCATTCCAGATCTGGGTCCTTTGATAGCAGGGAAAGGCTTCAGGAGCGAGATCGACATGAACATGATCGAGAACGAGAGAGAGACAGGAGAGAGGGAAGACAGAGAGACTGGGACCGAGATGTTGACAAAGACTGGCCGAGGAGCAGGGAACGAGAGAGACTCAGAGAACGAGAGAGGGAAAGGGAGAAAAGGCGGGAGCTGGACAGAGAGAGAGACAGACAACTACCCGATACTGCTGAAAGAGAGAGAGACAGAACTCTTGATATCTCCTCTCAGAAAGAATCAACAAAACACAGTGAAATGAAACTGGACAGAGATCACGAAAAGGAATTCGATGGTGTTTGTCGGGATTCAGTGGCTTCAGAAAAAGAAAGAACAGACAAAGATTTAGGACCTTTACAAGGTTTTGAAGATGGAAATGAGGCCGAAAAAGTAGAGAGTTTAGAAGGTGAGATATTCTGGGAAATAATCTGGACTGTCAAATATTTTACTCCTTCCCTTTTAGTACGGTGCTGAACTGAGCTGTATTAGAATAATTTTCTACTGAAAGGCATATTGGCTCCAGCTTCTGTATTGTGGAAGCAGACACAATAAGAGAGAATTCTGATGAGCATCTTCTTAGTGTTAATTGTGTTAATGTTAGTGTTATTTGTTAATTTCTAAAGAAGTCTTGAGGCAAAGAAACATAAATGATCTGAGGTATAATTTCGCTGAGGTGTAACGTTTCTGAATAGGTAGTTTGCTAAAGAATAACACCAGCATTTGATTGCCTTGTTATATCATTATAAGATCTATTTCTTAGTTTGGAAGTGACAGGTAATGAGTGAAAAAAATGAGTGTTGACTTGGAACTGTTCTTTGGGGGTTTTTTCTGCAGAACCCAATTATCATAGAAGTTATTGTCCGATTAGTAGGTGAAACATATGTATGGCTTGGCACAACAGTCCAAAATGGCTTTCCTGAGGTAATCTTATTAAAGGCGGCTTCCATTTGCTGGCCCTAATGGTACTGGGGAAAGCGTGCTTAGGATTAATAAATAAAGTAAGGAGCAAACACTGACAAACTCTTAAGAGTTGTTTTCCTTTTAAAAAAAAAAAAAAAACTTTTTAGAAAACTAAATACAATTTCCAAATCTGATCATGTTAAGGAGGTATCTGGTATTTACTTGGACAAAGTCTTAAGAGTTTGTCACATGGGTTAGACAGCTTGAGCTTTGCATGGAGAGGGAGTTTGGGAAGTTCTTATAATGTATATCAACAACGTAAAAGAAGCAAGAGTCTAAATCCAGAGGCACTGGTGTACGTTATGTTCAGTAAGTTGGTTTTTTGGTGATTGCAGGAGTTTTCTTCTCTAAAATCTGTTGAGAGGAAAAAAGGCGTTGTAGGATTTGGAATTTTTGGATGTTTGGGATGGTAAGGCGTGAAGTCCAATAGTCTTCAGGAGCAGAAAGAGAAACGAATTAAGCTTTTGTAGTTTTACACAAGATAACAGGACATTGTCTCAACATATTTGCATTCTTAGTAAGAATTATCTGTAGTGTTCATTATTAATTTCGGCAGTTAAATCAAATGTCTGGAGAGGATGATGAGGAATATTTATTACTTATTATATCTTCTACCTGATTATTTGCAAAGTGGTCATTAGGGTTGACTGGTACGACTGAGAAAATTACATTTAAGGAGATTATCTGTGGAGTGGAAGCACTTGTCAAAGACAGTATTTGGAGTGAGCATGGGAAAGTCTGTTCTGTCTTGCTGTAACAGATAGAATTCAGCGATTTTTAAGCTAGAGGAAGGAACAGTGCAATAAGTTACCACAGAGTGCAATGTGGTAATTTCAGAAAAGAGTTGGTGAAAGGCTATTCTTAGGTACATTATCTGTTTCCAAGAGGGCACCTATAACTAAACAGGCTGTGGATGTTAAATGTGTTCTTAGATCTAGCCTTTCAGCAGACTTCTTGTAAGTGTTTTAATATGTATTCTTTTGCGTATTTTTCAGAGTTTGTGTTCTAAATTCTCTGAAAATTATCATCTGTAGGAAGTTATGGTATATTTAGGATTTTTTTTTTAGAAAAATAAATGTCTTTCGTAAAATATTAGATGGCATTCCATTTTATTAAAGCACACTATATACAGCATGTCTATGATTTCCTAAGGTTTAGTGTACTCTATTGTCTTTCATTACTTTATTACTCCTGTTTACATTGCTCCTTTTGGCTGACTAGTGTGTCGTGTTTTTAATGCAGAATTAATATAAAAGTACATTTCTGCAAAAAAGCAGTAAAGGTAGCGATTGGATTTTAATCTAGAAATTATCAAACTTGGATTTGAAATTCAAAGTTGAGAAAGTAATCTTTTTAATCATGTATTGAGAGCTATGGATTATTATTTTTAATTGCTTCATACAGTAATTTTTTAAATGGTTCATCTGTGCTGTCCAAGCACGTAGTTATGGTGAGCTAGCGTATCTGGTAGATCAGTGTGGAGGCGGAAGGTAGATCATACAGGCAGTGAATATTTAAAATTGTAAGACACAAAATGATACCTAGTACAGATCACTTTATTTTCCTTTTAAAAAGGAAAAACTTTTTAGAAAACTATGTACAGTTTCCAAATCTGATGATGTTAAGGAATTATCTGGTATTTACTTGGACAAATTACTGTAGTATATTGGCTAACAAAATGTGTGAGGATGTAATTAGTAAATTGTTGTAATGTCTTGAACCTTAATGTCTTTGCTCTAGGAGTGGGCTTAAATAATGCCCAAGATGCTATATGCTTTCTCCAAAGCGCTGCCAGGTGGTCTGAGTAGTTAATTTATGCTCTGCTAGCATATCTTTTACTTGCTTTTTCCATGCTGATTTTTAGGGTAGTTGAGGTGATTTTTTTTTTTTTTTTTCCCCTTCCCCCTCTGTACCTTTTACAAAGGCAAGCAAAAAAAAAAAATTGGGACAACGTAAAACGCAGGCAGTTTCCCTTCTGGATAAGGGAAGATACTAGAATAGCCATCCACAGGGGAAGACCCCTGTAAATTCTATCTAGTTTGTATGGCACAACTCATTGCAAGTACCATGGCGGAGAATCCTAAGGAAGCCTGAGTTTAGAGCAATAGGGTTTCTGAATACTTGAATCAGATCTTTCAGTCTTGGAGGTGAGAGAATACCTTCAGATGTTCCTTTAATGAACTGCAAAATGCACCATTTGAGTGTCTTGTGTTTACAGGTTTTAAGGAACATGTTTACACATACAGCACAGGTATTTATATATGCATATAGTACATGGATGGATAGGAGTGTAACAACAACTGAAGAAGTTTGGCATGGCTTTCTAAAAGCTCTTCTTGTGACTTCCACAAAGAGTCTAAAACTCTGTGAATAATTCCTTCATTCAGGGTATCTTGCACCTTCTTGTATTTTGGGGTTTTGTTACTTCTTTCTCCTGTAGAGCCTTTGGACTGAATCCTGAGTTTGGATTCATGTGCAAAAGCATCTGAAAGACTTTGTGGTGCTAACTTAGGTTTGTATTATTAACTACATATCAGGTATCAGATAATCAACATATGTTTCTTCTGAGTATGGCCTTCTATGTGCAGTTTGACTAATGCTGCACCAAAAAAAATGACTGAGAGATGTAAAATTCAAACTGCAGCATTGTGCATGGGAGAAATAGGTTCTCGGTTTCCATGAGTTAATACCTGTTTTCATGTTGAATATACTTGTCCCCAAAAACTAACAGTTTAGTTTGCTGAACCTCTTTGTTTTCAGGCTACTTAAAGCATTTTTAGAAAACAAGAATGATTGCTTTAAAGCTACGGTATGTATCTGTCTCTGTAGGAGGAGAAGATGAAGCAAAGATTGATGATGTACAGTCACTGGGGTCTGGTGCTGGAGAATACGAGCCAATCAGTGATGATGAACTGGATGAAATTCTGGCAGGTGATGCTGAAAAGCGGGAGGATCAACAGGAGGATGAGAAGATGCCTGGTAAAAGTATAGCAAAACCCCTTTACGATTATTTGAATATAAAGATTAGATCAGTTTGCATATAATGCTATTGTGATGTTGACAGTATTTCTGAATTAGGAATGCGGTTTATATGCTCCTCAGTAATTCTCATTTGTTCTGTAATAGTCAGGTAAGACTGAGAAGTGTAGAGGTAAGTAAAGAGTACCGGGAACTGTATTGTGAAGTAGTATTTATCTTGTTTTATATAGCTAGAAGGGTAAGCTTTCTGTTTTTATAAACATGTTTTCATTTATCCCATTTGGTTTTGATCATTAATTTGGAACTGATATTTTTATGAACAGATTTTATCCATGCTTGAATGCTTCCCAAATGCACTGGGAAGCATGGAATCTTCTACTTGTTGTAAGTTCAGTTGGGTCATCTGGGCTATATGATCACTGTTCATATTTTCTATGATAAACGTACTAGACAGTTGTATGGTTATTCAATAAATAGTATATCTGTCCTTTAAAAAAAACCATCCAGCATCCAGAGTTGAAATACTAGCTTTTTAAGCATTTAATTTGGATCTGTCATAGCACGTTTACTTACACTGTGACTTTTGTGAATGCCTAAGTGATGTGTCCAAATCTGCTGGCTAAGCAGGATCTGAGCAGCCTTCCACAAAGGGGTTGCAATAAAAATGAAGCAGAATATTAGGGGTGTTTTTTTTAATCCAAGAAACTTTATATTTGTATGCTCCTTTTTTCACCAGTCTAAGTGAGTTTTGATGTTCTTACCTGAAGTGTCCAAGGATCTGGCTTTGAGAACTGCAGAACAATATTCATCAAATATAATGCTTTTAGGAGACGGGGATGTACACAACATGTGTAATTAATCAACTGTGGTAAGGGATGATGATGTGATAACTCATTCTCTGTCAATGTTTTTGCAGATCCTGTGGATGTAATAGATGTAGATTGGTCCAGTCTTATGCCAAAGCAGCCAAAAGAACCACGGGAGCCTGGGGCTGCGCTCTTAAAATTCACACCAGGTGCCGTTATGTTGAGAGTTGGCATTTCCAAGCGATTGGCAGGACCAGAACTCTTCACCAAAATTAAAGAGACTTGCCAGAGAGTGTTAGAGAAACCTAAAGGTAATTGTTTCTGCAGGGATTAAATGTCTTTTGTACTTAGTGAAAGTCCTTATGAAGCATTAGTTCATTATTTTAGGTTTCAAGACCATACAAAGTGTATAATGAGTATTGTGTGAAAATTACAGGAATGTAATACAGCTGCATGTCAATCAAATTAGTGTTTTAATTCCAGCAGTGCTGAGGAGATCCTGAATAATAGCCTAAACACAATTTTTCATGCTAGGGGAATATTCTTTTTGTGAGACCATTCATGCTTTCTTAGCCTAAAGTGTGTCAGCAGTTTTTTGGAGAGCTAAATATCTCCTGTAGTGAATTAGCAGTAATATTGCGAGAAAGAAATAAGAATTCTTACTTTCTCTGAATGTCCTCAGCACGTCCTCTTGTTTTCCTTCTGGGGATCCTCTCCAGAATGCATAGATAGGAGTTTTTAGGCCAGAATGAAGGAGCTAACTGAAATTTGTATATTAGGTCTCTGCTAGAAGTGGGAAATTAAATAATACACAGGTCTGGCATTTGGACAAAGTGTGTGGCATAAGACATGCATGATAGATGGGATGGGCATGAACTAGGCATGAACTATACCAGTGCTGTTTACTACAGTTCTGTAGTGTAAGCTTTTGCATGAGAGAGAATACTGCTTTTTCTCTTTGGCATCCCAGGAACCAGTTGAGCTGCTTGCAACAACTTGCATGGTAGAATTGTTTTTTTAAGACTATGAAACATTTGCTTTCTATAAGATCTCTATGGAAATTATTCCAGGATCTAAATGTGAGGAAATTATGGCTTATAAAGAATAGTATCTGTGGAGCCCCTGTTTTTAGGGAATAGCAGATTTTTCTGGTTTTTTGGATTTTTTTTAAACTCTAAATTCTAGTTCTTAATTTGAAACAATACCTCTTAATTCTTTGCAACATTATTCTTTATGCAGTTGTCTTGTTAATCTCCATGAATGTCACGCTTGCTTGAGCCATTTAAATTGTATAACTATTAATTGTGGGCTGTTGGTACTACTTCTGCTTTTTTTTTTTTTTTTAAGTCAAATTAAATGCAAACATTTTTAATACATCATAGATAGTATAATTTGAGATGTACAATTATAATACTTGGTATTAGTAAGTACTGTAAATGTCCCACTGCAATATTTGCAGGTCTTTCAATGCAGCATTAGCTTTCTTCTGGTTTAAAAAAAAAAAAAATCTCAGCTCTTATGCTTAAGAATTCATGTAACCGATGTAACTGATACAATATTGAGTCTTCCCGAGTAAAGGTATGAATTATGTCTTTCTCCCTGTAAGCTTTAATTTTACTGTATACTTCAATGCTTCTTACCAGGGATTCCTTGCAACAGAAACTACAGTGCAGAATCACTCCACCTGGCTGTTTAAAATGATACTTGAAATAACCTCAGCAGTTCCTTGCATGCTTCTCTAGAAGTAAACAGAAAGTCCATAGTAATAATAGGAGGCTCTCCAGCACTGCCTCTGGGCCGTCTTAAGTGTACTCCAATTCGGCAGAACTTTCCTCTGGAGAGGGAGGGGGATTGAAGTGCCTCCATTGATTTCCCGTTGGTGTGTGCAGTCTGTCACACATCAAAGTTGCTACATGTGGAACTGCCAGTAGGCTTTCAAGTGTGTGCATTTCCTCTGTAATCTGCTAGGTGGAGGTTCCTTGTGCAGTGATTACACAGCCACAGCACTTATATTCTAAACTAAGGCACAAATATGGTGCCCTGAAAAGTGAATGAATTTGAGCTAGATACTCAGTGTGCGTTTTCACTTTGGACTTCTTTCACTTTGGACTTCTTCATGGTGGTATAATATGTTTCCCTGTTTTATTCCTGAGTTTGGTGTTGCCGCCTTCGTTCTTACTGTGGATGAAAAGGTTCTGGTGATACACTGAAATGCAGGGAAAAAAGGAAACAATTGCTTGTTTCAGGGATTTTTTTTTTTTTATTTATTCATTTTCTTTGGAAACAAAAATCTGTAGTATGTGATGGAATTGAGATTTGTAGCTGACTTACCCTCTATCTATTATATGGAATTGTTTCCTCTAAGAATATGGACATGCTTAGTTGCCAGATATGCTCAGCATCTGGCACCTAGGCAGACTCTGCAAGCTGTCAGTGTTACCTTTGAAGTGGCCTTTTTGTGTCTTCTCACTTATTTGTGGTGTTGTCCATTGAGGTTGTCTTGATTACTTCAGTGCAGTTCTCTTTAACCTGCCCTTGATTTCATGTAACTTTTTTGTTTCTTTTCATGCTGTTTAAAAACTAGTCTTACTCAGCTTTATCCAAATTCTCTGAGTGGTTTAAAAATGCATTTTGTTCTCTTCTGTGTGCATCCTGCTACTGCCTGCTGTAGCAGTCTGTGCTTTTAGCTGGTAATTTTCCTCAGGTTTGCTGGTGTCTCTAGTTAGGTGTTAGATTCTCTGCTAAATATCAAATCTTTTACTATATAGAGGTGGCTGGATTGGACTTAGCTACATACCTTACCTTTTTTTTTTTTTCCCCCAATTATGTCATAATGATCCTATTTATTGTAAAAGGGTTATAAATCAATGAGCTGCGGTCCAGCCATGTGGTAATTTTCCTCAGGTTTGCTGGTGTCTCTAGTTAGGTGTTAGATTCTCTGCTAAATATCAAATCTTTTACTATATAGAGGTGGCTGGATTGGACTTAGCTACATACCTTACCTTTTTTTTTTTTTCCCCCAATTATGTCATAATGATCCTATTTATTGTAAAAGGGTTATAAATCAATGAGCTGCGGTCCAGCCATGTGTACTCTCTTTGTCTGCATTTCATAGAAACAGACTTGTTGCAGAACAAGACTTACCTCAGGATCCATCTTTTGTTAAAGTGGTTGAAGCGTTCTAGCTGCACCCTGTTTCTTCTGATAAATGTATTAAAGGACTAGTCCTGCCACTTTGAGTACTGTTAACAAATGCTTTAGATGAGCCTTTAGGAGGGGGTAGTTCATTAGTATCTGTTGACTTGTTCTCCAGATTATCCACCACGGATAAAAGAATTATTCTATGTAGTCATATTTCACTTCTGCATAGCCATACAAACCCTGTGTTGACACTGGTACAGTTATCTGGTGTCTTGCAGAGAAGTGAAACTTAGACCACTTTCTGATTAACACTAGTAGTAAACACCTTTTGTCACACATGTCTGACCATAAATGATACCCCCATCTTCTGTCCCAGAGCTGTCACTTGATTTTTAGGGCTCTTGGTGATTGCTGTCTCAATATTGCTTTCCAGTGCTGACGCTATATACAAGGGTACCCATCCTTCCCTTTAAATGGCGAAGGATTTATTTAGGTTTTATTTAGGTTTTATTTTAGGTTTATTTATTTTAGGTTTTTTTATAAACTGCAATATTCTTTTTTTCCAAACCTTGATGTTGTTTAGAAGGCAGAAATACAAATAGTAAAACTTTAAAGAATTTCATATTACTGTATATTGCTGTTCAGAAATACCATGTATATGTTGATCTCTGCAAATATTAATTCTTTCTAGATGCCGAGAACCTTTTTGAACATGAACTGGGGGCCTTGAACATGGCTGCACTTCTACGAAAAGAAGAGAGAGCAGGTCTTCTCAGTAATCTGGGTCCTTGCTGTAAAGCGCTATGCTTTCGAAGGGATTCTGCAATCCGTAAGCAGCTAATGAAGAACGAAAAGGCATGTGTTTCGTTTACAGTGCTTGGTCAAAATGTGGAAACACAGATTCCACTGTGCAAAGCATTTCTCTAGGGTGATAATTTTTGTGTTTGTTGTTCTGGAGTAGACTTACTGCTTTAAATAACGGAGAACAGACTTTAATTTAAAGAGGTTGTAGGGTGTTTATTTTTTACTTAGGATGAGAGAGTAATTTAAGATTGAGACTAGAGGTAGGTGCTGTTTCTCACTTTGGGGTTTAAATTCTGGAGATACATTTTCTATATTTACAGAATACATAATAAAAATAATTTGTTAAAATACAATTTCAAAGACAATTGTTGAATAATTCTCCTGCTCAAGATTCCTGTACTTTAAAAGAATTACAAGATTCTGTTCTTCCAAGTTAAAATCGAAAGAAAAAATATTTTAGCCATTTTTTTGCGCTACAGCTTTTATGATCTTGCATGCTAATAGAAGAATCATTAATTCTCAAAGTCTTTTCTGGTGAATATGTATGATTAAACCTCTAATTATTGAGAGTACTTGAGGTTAATTTCTCAGCTTGCATGTTAAAATCCACTGTTCTCAGTTCTTTCTTTTTTTGTTTTTCATTTTTAATTTCAACAGGGTGCGACAAAACAAACTTACACAAATTCTGCAGCAATGGACAGTGACTTGTTACGGTTGAGTCTACGGTTATTCAAACGAAAGACTGTGTGTCAAGTTCCTGGGCAGGAAAAGACAGAGGATAGTAAAATTCCACAACCGGCTATCCAGCAAGAAGTGTGTGTGTCTTGAGTGAATGACCGCGGTGGCACTTTCTAGTTGATTTCCCACTACCGATGTTGGTATTGATGTTTAGAACTGGTTGGTTGGAAAGCAGCCGTAGAAGATGGAAGAAAATACTCCGTTTGTACACAGATAAGAATTACTGGGTTTGGATGTGAATAAAAGGGGTAAAAAATAAAGACTTCTGTGTGAAGTTCTCTGCAAGTTTTGTAACATTGAATCTTACACTGTAACATAAACCTGTTTTATGGTGCATCAAGTGTAATAATGTGAAGATGTCTGGTTTTAGCAGTTTATAACACCACCTGATATTAAACTGAAGAAAACTGTTTGTGTATCTTTTTCCTCATTATAAATGTTTTTTTCCGCCACCATCCTGGTCCCTCAATACACGTCTGGAATTTCTTAAATAGCTTGCTTCCTGGGAGTCTGTCTACCTCCACTTTCCAAATCCCTTTCTTATCACAACAGCCTCTGGATTTGGACAAAACTCTAGCTCTTTTCCATCTGTAGCGTAGGTTTCCTCTGATAATTTCTGGACACAAAAATCTAGTCTAGTCACTTAAGGCTTCCCTTCTTGTTGATGAAAAGAAGTAAAAAACTTCCAGGAAGTGATTTATGACCAGTTTTAGATGCCTATGTTTATGAGTCTAACAGCATTTTGGAAATGCCTGCTGCTTACAAAGGAGGACTAGTGCATATATTTTCTATTCTGTTAAGTGTCAGGGCAGATCAATTCCATGCGGCAACCTTGAGGGTATTTAACACTTGATCAGTTTCAGGGGTTTTTGGATGTTGGCAGTAAAGGCAGTGAGCAATGATGTTTTGCTGGGTGTTACAGATTTCAGGGGCCTGGTTAGAGACTTGTCAAGCCTGGACTCACTTTTGTAAGAATTGTTTTCAGTTTGAGAAGTTAGTATCTCGTGTGGGATCTTTGGGTTATACCAGACAGGTATGTTTAGGTAGTCTGTGGAGGCCTCCGTGTGAAACAGACTTCTAAAACTTCAGACTAAGTCTCTGTATACACCTTTCTACTTTTCTTGGGTTTAAACCTGAACTTGCTTTGAATTCTGCTCATCAAGAGTGGGAAAGAAATCCATAGTTTAACCTTGATACCGGGTGCTGCAAAGCAACTTGTTTTCATTGGTCTTACTCAGGTTGAAAATGAGTTATGAACCACTAAATTTTTTGACAGTTGGTTTATATTAATTTCTTACCCTTTTTCTCTGCTTGGAACCAGCACACTGAGGTGGGATGTTGACTGTGCAGTTTAACAGCAGGCCTGTCTCGCATCTCTTGTGATTACTGACAGTTGTATTGGTTTCAAGCAAAGGCCTAAATATGAATAGCAATTCAGTTCAAATACAAAGCTTTCTTACTGTAACGTCTTCCTGTAATGCCTGGTACATAAGCGTTCCGTAAAATGTTCTTATACTATGTTTAAAGAACTGTTGTTAAAGAAAATGTGAGAGGGTTTTATTTATATTTTTGTAAGTGCCCACACACTAGTGTATATGTACTTCTATCAAATATAAATGACGTGAGAAATTTCTACCATTTGTTTGATTCTTATTAAACTATGTGATCCAGGCAAAACTTTATCTTCCTAAGTTTTTCACTTCTTGAACATTTTTAAGGGACTTGGTGACTATTATTTTTAATGTCATTGACGATTTTATATATGCTTATTAAAAAAATAGTGTATCTTTTAAACACACTAGAACTTTAACCTGAGCAAGAGTTAACAAACCTGTTCTATTCAGCATTTAAATGCATTCTCACCTATTTTATAGCTACAATAATGCTGCCTTTAAGCTGAAAGTATTAGATCATTGCTTCCAATTATGTTAAAGCCTATTTTAATCTCTGTTTCTAAAAGACATAAAAATGTTTGATGGCTAGAAACAGCCTTGTCTGAGACTGCAGTACAGAAAATAGATTCACTGTGTGGCATTTAATTACACTGTGCTTACTTTAAACACTCCTCCTGTAAAACAGTCAAGGTGTATATATGCACTTAGTTTGCAGAAGAATACTTCACATTACCACAGAAAATGCAAAATAAAATAGGCTTGATGGGCTACTGTGAGTGTCTCATGGAGTGCTAGTGTCCCATTGAAGGTCAAAGCCAGTGCTGACCTGTACCGTCATTTGTTGGAATTATACAAAAAAGGTGCTAAAATTGCCCCTGACACACCTTTGGTTTGATTTGATTTGCAGTGCTTATGAGTGCAGAAGTACATTATGGTACTGGCAGAAAACATGCCTGTTTTTGTGGGAAGCGCTAAGCTTTTTCAGGCGATTCCTCTGTCACCTGGCAGGAGTTACTGCACAGGTAGAGCCCACCAAGCGCGAAGTTCCTGTGTATAAGTATTTTTGGTCTCCATCACATAAAATAGTGTTTACTTTGCAGGTGTTCTCTCTGACAGGGAAGGTAAAGCTCTCTTCCAGTAATTTTAAAATAACTTGAGGAAAAGGGGATTTACCCACATACCAATTTCAAGAAAAGGTGTGAAACTTGTCTGAATTGGAGAACTTCCATCCCCTTCCCTGTGTTGGTCATCGCTTTTCTGATGTGGTCTGCCAGCCCTTTTAACCTGTCTCTTCCTTTCTCCCCATTTTTCTTGTAGCTTGATTTTGTGTGGAAAAAGAGTAGATGGAAGAATTTTAGTCCAGTTCTCATCTTGCAGGGCTCCAGCAGTCATACACAGGAGCCTGTAACATTTCAGGCAGCAGTGTGAGGACAGGGCTGAATGTGTGCCTCAGGTGCCCTTGTGTGCTCAAGCTCCAAGTCTGAAAACGTGGAGAAGCCTCTATTGCTACTCAGTTTCTCCTTTTAAGCTGTGGCAGCAGCTTTAAAGCGGTCCCTGTACCAAAGCAGAGATGTCAGCGCTTTCTGCTGCTAAGCCCATGCTGTGCCTAGTTGGATGATAAATTAGTTTTAAGCATCCCTGAGGTGCTGTCTGGAACGTGGAGCCGCAGAAGAACAAGCTGCCGCGTGCACTGGTAGGATGAGGCAGGCTTTCACCCAGGTGAAACATTCTGCCCAGCTCTTGCAGCTGTAGCAGATTCACAGACAGAGCAGATTTTTAGAGCCTCGAGACACAAATGGGGCTATGACCTGTACCTTGGGATATTGTCACGTTCATTATCTCAAATAGTACTTTCAGGCTATTACCGCTTCAGCTAGCGGAGTGAGATACGGATTTTGACAGTGGGCCATCTGCACGGTGTACTCAAAAGACAGTGTTAAGAGTTCAGACAATTTTACTAAATTAAGGCTTTTGTTTGAATTGCCTTGACGTGGTTGTGTTCTCCCTTTTCCGCTGTAGGGATGTCCTTCCGCAGAGAGCAGGCTGGCTGGAGCCACTCTGCCTGTACGAGGCAGGGCATATGATATACGTTCAATTCAAACAGTTGCTACCAGCTTAAAGAGTTCAGGAACCTCCTTTGTTTTGTAGTAAGAGTCAAAGTCTGCTTTTCAAAGGGTCTTTGTACAAACAGTTGTTTTTACTGTACAGGTCTTCACCGTAATGGTAAGGGGAAACCCAAGGAGACGTTATCAAATGCTTGGTCTTGGCACACACATTATATAGTAGGTAAGGTTTTGTGGGCAGTGCAGTAGAGGAATTATTTTTTTAATGCAATGTTAGGAGACAGCTTGAGAATGGCAATGTACTGTTACAATAATAATAATAAAAAGCTCTAAACTAAGCCCTACACTTGGAAGTAAAGCAATGTGGCCAAGCATCAAGATGCAAGGGGTTTCTTAAACCAAACTGACCTCTCAAGAATTTGGAAATTTGTCCCATGAACATCAATAAAGGACTCCAAATGTGTGGGGAGAGAAGTGCTAAAATAGCATTCAAAAAGCAAATAGCTAAAGTTTTTTGGAAGAAGACAGTCTTTTATAAAGAACAGCCGGTTTCATAGCCTCTGCCCTGTCAGTAGGGATCAATAGACGAAAGAGGGAAGTTGACTTTCTTGATATCAGCTTTCTCTGTCAGGGATACACCTACCACAGGCTTACTTTTTCCTTAGTGATGAAGTCGAGGTATTATCTTTAAAGCACATCAAAAGACGTGCTAGAAGAAACTGCTGAGTTACAAAGCAACGGGCTGCCAGATTTTAAGTGTATGTTCACGTGTAAAAGGGTTGTGTTGGTTGCAAACATGCAGTTCCTAAAAAAGAGGGATGATTGAAGTAACAGGGGTGGATGGGGATTTTAAGAAAGCTTGCAGCTTTGGGGGCAATGGAAAATGCTCTTTTCCATCTACTTCGTGATTGAATTTGCTGTTTGAATATATTATGCGTACGAGGGGTGCTTGGTGCACTGTGTGAAAAGTACTTGAGGAAGGGATTAGTAGAAATGGGGCAAAATTGAGCAGTGTAAGTTGTAGTTGTCAACCTGGGAGTGAGACTTCACACATCTACGAGCCAGGAGCTCGCTCATCAGAATGATGGAGCCAGAAATACCTAGGTGTGCGGAGTGAGCACACGATGCACTGGTGAAAGAGCTCTGGAAACAGGCAGTGTAGCCCTAACATGGCTCCAGATGGTGTTTCCAGCAGGGAGAGGAGTGGTTTTACCACCCTCTCCGGTACCTGCAAATTCTAACCTGGTCTCTCCTGTCTGCTCCCCTATGCTTGCAGAAGTTGGATTCAACCTACAGACACAGGGAGCCCTGGAAGTGAGGAGAGGCATCGATTATGATTGCTGTCTCCTAAAAAACTGGGAAAGTGAGAAAAGGGAAGAAAAAAACTGAAGAAGGTCAGCAAAAGAACAGGTGAGCCTAAGCTGCCCATAGTACCTTTAAGATGGATACTGGAAATCCCCCAAGGACCTGAATAGATGCACGCAAGATTTACCTCCTCTCTGAGTTGCAAAGGTGCTTTGTCACCATGAAACCTGCAGTTGCCTCTATTTTAGACATCATTCTGGTGTCTGTGTCTTGCATGCTCACAGAAAACATGTTAGCAAGAGGTTTCACAGGACTTCTGAAATGTCTCGCACAAGGTTACTAGGAAAAATTAAGCTGCAGCAAGTGAAGGATAAAGAAATGACATGAATTAAAAATTAGCTGGGAAACAGAAGGTAAAACAGAGGACTAAATGATCACGTCTCATCACAAACAGCTCACAGTGGGTGAACTCCCTGTACCTTTGTGATTTGGAAAGGAGTTGACTGAGAAGGAAGATTAGAAAATTTGCAAATCACAGTTAAAACTGGAGAAAAAATCACGGAGATGCGTTTGCTGCCATGTGGCCCATTCATTTAGCTCATTTCAAGTCCTTCTGCGAGGCAGCATCAAGATGTGCAAATTGACACG